CTTTTGAACTAATAAAGTTTCCTATTCGTGTTATCTGTAATACTAAATATAGATTTTTATAATAAGTAAACATTTTTTATCAAAGAAACTTTTCTAAGTCTACGTCCTTGTGTTTGGTTATTCATAACCATCTCGCCTGTGCAAGAGCAAGATACTTGTACAAGATACTTGAATGACTTATTTGTGCACAATTATGCTACCCTCTTTGTCATAACCAACGCATTTGAAATTCGGTAACTTTTCATCATCATCATCATGATTTCAGCCAAAAGACGTCCACTGGTGAACATAGGCCTCTCTCAAAGAATGCCACAACGCCTGTCCTGCGCCGCTTGCATCCAGCGGATTCATCCAGCAGATCATCAGTCCACCTTGTGGGTAGTCTGTCCACGCCGCGTCTACCGGTGCGCGGCCGCCACTCGAGAACTCTTCGGCCCCATCGGCAGCATTTGTTCTGCGAGCAATGTGCCCTACCCATTGCCCCTAAAGTTTTGCAATTCTTAGGGTTATGTCGGTTACTCTGGTTCCCTTGCGAATATCCTCATTACTGATTCGATCTCGCAACAAAACTCCGAGCATACCCCTTTCCATTGCCCTTTGAGTGACCTTAAGCCTTCTTATGAGACCCATAGTGAGCGACCACGTCTCAGTGCATTAAGTCATCACTGGCAACGCACACTGGTCGAAGACTTTTGTCTTGAGACACTGTGGTATTTTGGAAAGAAGATATGGCGTAATTGCCCGAACACGCTAACTTTTTTTTGCTAGTAAAACGTGTCAATTACGCTGATTTTTCTTAAGAATAAAACTGAAACTAAATAAGATATTTAAAAAACCGATTAGAGGGTTGTAGATCTCGTTTTGCCGATCCCGGATGTGTTAATAACTCAATTTCGCTAAGAATGTCGATTACGTTATAACCATAAGGAGGACAGTATGTTGGTCATATTTTTTTACAACGAAAAATCACAGAAGTACTATTGAAAATGAAAAAAGTTTCAATATTAATAAATGTTAATAATAAATAAAACAAATCGAGTTCTTAGGTTTTCGTAGTTGTTATAGGAAATGAAACTATTTTTCCGGATTTAAATCGCGTATATTTGTTTTTTAAATAAACGAAGGTTTCGAGTCCTTTATAGGTCCCATGTACACGGTTGACAAGGCCCGGATCGTTGGTTTGTTTGAAAAAACAAATACACGCGATGTAAATCCGGAAAAATAGTTTCATTTCCTATAAATGTTTTTGTTTGTTGCGTGTGTATGCCGACCGCATCGTGCAACTACCTTCGGAACTAAGTGTAGGTAAAATCATCTCAAATCTTATGATTTAAATTTTTGTCTACCTACATTATGTTTCTTAATATGCAGTGACTGGTGATGGTTATATAGATTTTGTGCGCTTTACTATTAGGTTTTAAAGTAAGATCTTAAATTTTCTCGAATTTATATTCTTAGGAGAAATAAATATTCTTTAACCATAAATAAAACAAGGTTTTCAATTTTTCAATCGCTTTTATGGCCTGAAGATATATCGAAGTCATATATTTATATCGAAGATTCCAGAATAGATCATATTAACATAAAATAAATTTTATAATGGTCCATTTGTTTTGGGTCGACAGTAGCTAGAACAGCGTGGTGTTCCACATTTTAATTAAAAAAGTGGTAGTTGCATGCTTTAGTAACCAATCACTCTTACTTTAGTTTTTACGGGCACAAACATACGGACCACATGCTACAAAGGAGCTTATTATTACCACCATCACGTTCTTTTTGTTATCAAGCGGTTGTTGCCTAACCACTGTTTGTGGTTTCGTAGCAACCGCTCTCGCATCAAACAACGCGGTGGAGGTTATAAAAGTGCCGCAACGCAAGGACGTGAGCTTGAAAGGGAACAGGTGGTTTATGGCTCGACGTTATGCGCTTACAGCCCTACTAGACAGGGATGTAATTAGAGCGACTGATCCTCTACTTTTTGTTGTCCAATTTTGACTAAATCTACCAAATACATATTGTATGTACAGATAATGAGTGAAAAATTGATTTATTAAGGATTATACTTAAAAGTTTTCTAGTTTTTTAGTTGCTGCTGAAAATACTTTTAGAACATGATATGAGCAGAATGTCTAGCACCTCATGTGATGTCTAGATGGATTACAATCTGTTAATATTCAGAATTGGAACTTGACTTTTGATTGAATACTAAAAAAATTATTTAAAATCAATTCGTAAATTCAACATACGCAATTTGCTGTAGTAGTGCATATAGCAATCAATTTATTATTATTACTAATTTATTACTATATATTTACTAAAGTCCGTTTCTATTATCCAAAAAGATAATTTCATTACTTGAGATTCTTTTGCCGTACAAACACAAAGGCTACTTTAGTTTTTTTTTTGCCTGAAAACTCTTCACATCATTTTCATTTCACTTTATGTTTAGATTTAATAATAAACGTCTCTTATTTTGTTTAACATTAATTTCATATCATTTTCGTTTTATATATTACATATAATTTATTATACGGTACTGAAAATATTAAAGACATGAAAATACAGGAAAAGCGTGTGCTCTCGAACCCTTTTGCATATTTATCTTTTGTTTTACTATTTGATCCAATTTAAAACGATGTAACGTACGTACGTACAGTTTTGTGAGCCGTACATTAGGTATTGCTATTCCATCGAAAGCAAAGCAGCATCCTGCTAGCATATAGACGAGCTTGCAAGCTTGCTTACATTCATATATGCTTGCTTGTTTGTAAAATTAGACCGTTTATGAGTTAGCAAACATCTTGCATGCAAGCACGTTAGGTATGCTAACGTGCTTGCATACTTTGCAACTTAGATTATGAGTTTTCGCAAAATCCGTAAAAATTAAAAAATAAATAGGTACAAATGTAAAGTCCATAATAGAATCTGATTACTTGAAATAATAATCATGTAAAATTTATTCTGTCGTTTATTTGATAGGAATATAATAGGATTGTGCAGCACCAAGACGAACCGATCTAGATTATATCAATTCGTATGTATATTATATATTAAATTACGAAACAAACAAAACAAAAAACATTACTATTTGAATAAATCTCATGCTACATGCAAATAAGTTGACACGGTTTGCGGACGCGTAGCAAGCAATGCACTGGGCAATATCAGTTCGTAAGAATGTGCCGACGTAATTGCAACCATTTGCCCTGCTTACAATGTAAGTACAATTTAAAGTTTTACACTACAAAGACAAGTTCACCGCTGTTGCAAAGTTACGTTACGTGATTCCATAGATATCATATAATAAAAATAAATATAAAACATAAGTAAATGTTGCAAACAACAACACAACTCCCAAAGGATCCTACTAGAGTTATCCATTCACGTATGCGTCACATGTAAATGGGGTGTACTCGTTGTGAAAAAAATATTGCATTTCCATTTTAAGTTCCCCACGCTTGTAAAATAGATTTAAATTACAGTATGTAAAGTAGGTACGTGTATATATGTGAGCCACATCTTTTGGTGTCCCAGCTACAGAACGGGACTTTATTTTAATGTGAAAGGCGCAATAAAAACATGCTTTATGTTTTCATTGGACTGGAAAGGTCAAAGTGCTAAACTCGGTCGTAAATAATTGGTACATTTAATCCAAGAATTCAATAGGAAATTTTGCCCACAAAAGGAGGTAGTGGAATGCCTTTGTATGCAAAATGGCTGCAAATTAGGACATTTTTTTATTCAAATGTAATTAACTCCTAATAGAAAGTGACGATGAGGTCGACGATGGAACTTGCACACCTAAATAATACCTATTCACTCTCGCCTTGCAAATGTCCATGTTATAACGTTCGGGGAACAAGTCTGCAAGCAAGGAATTTTAGTTTGAAGAGGAGCGCCAGGGTGCTTTAGCTTTTTAATAGAATTCAACACGTTTCTTATCATTTATAATGTAGCTTTAATATACGATCAGTTGCAAATATTCTATAAAATCTAGGAAACAAAACTGTAGCGTATGTATTTTGCCGTACTGTGTTATTATTATTATTTATTTTATAAGAAATAAATAGTCTCATAGGACTAATGCGAGTATAATAAATAGTAAAACACGGACTATTACTTACGGACTATACTTGAACTAGTTGAATTATAATTTATAAAGAAAACTAGTTTTCTTTATAAATAAACTTATATGTAATTTTTACACATTTTTACGAGTTGAATACCAATACATCCAATTATTTCTCTTTTTCTAACGTAATAAAAACAGGAACCTATTTGGAGAGGGTTATTAATCGTATACAATTTAATCTAAAAACATTAATACCATGCGTTCCTTAAAATTTATTGACGTTTTAAACTTTAATATTATGGTTTTTTTAACTTAATAAATTAAATAAGTAGTACACGTATGCAACAGTTAATAATAATCTCAGTGTAGAGTACTAAAAAAACCGACCTCAAAAGTTCGTGGATACATACACTTGCTAACTATTATTGAAATAGGTTACCGGAAAGTGGGCGAAACCGGATTCACCCCCTAGTTAGCCACATGTTTGTCACGTGGAATATTTTCTTCAAATTTAAATGGGACTAACACTGAGGTATGCGGTCTTTCCAACAAACAAGAATCATCAAAATCGGTTTACAAATGTTATCGCGTAACATACATACAAAAAAGGTGAATTGAGAACCTCCTCCGTTTTTGAAGTCGGTTAAAAATAATATAATGATAAATAATTTATTTGCCATAGTTATAATACAACAAGCATAGTGTACAAAGTATTAAAGAATCATAACATACGTTACTAGCTGTCATATGAAAGCAGCGGAAGTTTTATAATGTACTACCTATTACGATCACAGTAGGTAATCACATAAGGCGTTGTCCAAGTTGTAAAAATATTTTTAATATCTATACGCATATAAAATCAATTTATTTCTGTGTGCAGGAAAGCCGCGGAGCAGGGAATGACGGTCGGCGGTGAAGACGACCGGTGCGGCGCGGGTTGAGCGGGCGGGGGGTATGTGGATGCTGCTGGTGCTCGCGCTGGCGGCGGCCGCCTCCGCCGACTGCCCGCGCCATTGCGAGTGCAAGTGGCGCAGCGGCAAGGAGTCTGCCCTCTGCGCTCGCGCCGGCCTCACCGCCATCCCCCCGCGCCTCGACCCCACTACACAGTTGCTCGACCTTGCAGAAAACCGTCTCACCACTATACGTGACGACGCCTTCGCTGATGCTGGCCTCCTCAATCTGCAACGCCTCTATCTTCCAGCTTGTAACATTCGCAGTATACGTCAGTATGCATTCCGCGCACTTGTCAATCTTGTGGAGCTTGACCTTTCACGTAATCAACTTCACTCCATACCATCACATGCCTTCGACTCAATTCCTGAGCTTCGTGAACTTCGACTCAATGGAAACCAACTCATTAAAGTCAAAGACGAAGCATTTAAACATTTGCCTCACCTCGTGCGACTTTCACTCAGTGCCTGCAAAATAGCGGAAATAGAACCCCGAGGGTTCGTTGGCCTTGAAGCCTCCCTGGAATATTTGGAGCTTAGTAAGAATAGATTGCAGGTTCTACATGTCGCAGTTTTAGCTCCGCTGCGATTATTAAAAGGTTTAGAGCTTGCAAATAATCCTTGGGAGTGTACTTGCGCTTTAAGACCGTTGCGTGATTGGATGATTAGGCGTAATGTGCCAGCAACTGTAGTGCCAGAATGCGCCTTACCACCACGACTGAATTCTCACTCTTGGGATCGACTTGATTTGGAAGATTTCGCATGTCTGCCCGAAGTTAGTGCCTCATCCCATCATTTAAAAGGATTAGAAGGGGATGAAGTTACTCTGGTATGTCGAGTATCAGGGATACCTGCACCTAGAGTACGATGGGTACGCGCGGGTCGTCTTCTTGCCAACATAACATCTACTAATGTCAATTCTGGTAGAACTTTTTTGTTACGTAGTGAAGGACAAACTAGTAATTTAACAATTAAATCAGCTGACTTACAAGACGCTGGTTCATATACATGTAACGCAGAGAACCGAGCAGGAAAAGCGGAAGTGGTCTTAAGCTTAGCGATAGAAAAAAGACCTCAAAGTAAAGGCTTCGGAGGGAGAGCATTGATGGCAGGAATGGCGGTATCTGCAGTGATAGTTCTAAGTTCATGTCTGATAGGATTGTGCGTGTACGAGGCTCGTAAGAAAAGACAGGTGGATAGGTGGAACGAACAAATAGTGACATTAAACCACCGTAATGATAGTTACGAAAAAATTGATTCTAACTTTAAAAATAACTTAGAAGTGCCGCGAGTGACACCTTCGGAATGTACTAGCCGTAAGAGAGGTGATTACAGGAATGTGCCATCCCATGATCCCGAGGACGAGTATGAGGGTTACGTGAATAGAGAAATGCGGGAGGATAGGGATGCTTCATTAACACCGCCTCTCGAGATGAACTGGCGCAGAGCTGCCAACTACGAGACTGCCAGGACCAGAAATGGGGTCGCAGAACGAGATCTTCATATACCTCGACTTGGAGACTATGGCATAAGGTAAATATACTGTAATAAAAAATATATAGTAACAATTTATTTATGCGGAAAACTTTACCTAAATGAACAATAGATCAATTAATTAAAAAACAATTTAAAGACTTATGTATTTGCAATAGATTCATTATAACATGACGTTACAGTTTGATATTGTTGTTATAATACAGTTCAACTTTGCCATTGTTTCAGAGCGGCCGCGAACGCGGAATCCATGCAGAGCTCTAATTCAACAGGGGTGTTAAGCGCTCACGTAGAGATCTTATCAGAAAACAATCGGCTTAACAACAATGTGAACAGTCGAACTTGCCCACGCCTGCAAACACGAGATAGGCTAGATAACGACCTCTCAGGTAGCGACAGCGAAAAAAACTATCCTGATCTTATTGAAATGAGTGCACTAGGGACATCTTCGTACTTTAGAAGTGAAATGAAACATGATCCTTACTACTTTTACACTATACCGCGGAGAAAAGATGGCGATAGTCGTAGTCCACTTCTCAGTAGTAGAAGAAACAGTTCTGGTGGAGATTCTGCTACTTTGTTTGAAAGACCATATGAGAAGTCTCGAAAGAGATCATCATCTGGGAGGCGATCAAATAGCTTTCTGGATCTCTCAACTGGCGGGAATAGGATACGGCGCAACCCTAGTTTGCCCGCTTCGCCAACCAGGGAACAACCTACGGTGCCGTCCGCCACACCGCTGCTTGATTTGTCTGGGCTCCGAGATTATTCGCGCACTGGACAACCAATAGAGGACTATGACTTTCGAGCATCACAATTAGAAAAATTTTTAGAAGAGTACAGAACTTTGCGTGAGCAGCTTTCTAGAATGAAAGAGACGAGGGAACACTTGCAGAGAACAAGAGCTGGAGAGAAGGAAGAGTTCAGGTCAATCCTGAAAGGGAAGCCTAGTGTGGCTGTGACAGAGACCTCGTCTTCAGTGGCGCTGGCGGATGCAGCATCCCCACTGGCGCTCAGCCCGCCTGAGTATAAGCCACAACAGTCTACGCCTGAATGGCTTACTACGCTCCTATATCGTAATTAACGTTGTAAATATAGCTATATTTGAACTGATGTTGAACTTAAGTAAAAATTGTTTGTAAGCGAAGTGATACCAAGGAGTCGTTCTTTTAAAGTTGAAATAAATCAATTCAATTGTAAAATATGCTTTAAATCTTATAAAAACTGCAAAATCACCCTATTAGCGCAGCTAACAGCGTCATAGACTTTTCTAAGGGACTTAAATATTTTATTCGGACGTAAACCAAAGGAGCAAAAAGCATTTTATTAGTGATAGCAAAAAACAAGGGACGGCGGCAATTCACGTGGCCAAAATCGTCAAAATGACTTGTAAAAGTTAATATAAAAAGTTGGCGTAACAGCCGTGAAACTCGTTAGTGTGTGATGGTGGGTGGTGGAGCGTGCGATATATCAGCCGGGAGCTGCCGCGGCGGCATGAGCCGTGTGCACACCGACAACTTTCCATAAACTGATATTTTAGGTCAAGTATAACCGGGACTCCTTTCACCTCGTACTCGAGGTATTTGATTATTCATATCACTTAATAGTGGCTCTTGAATTCAGTGACTACCTATATATACTTCACCTTACTTTTCAATACAGAAGTACATAATGTAGATAGGTTAGGAACAGTAAACATAACCTTAAGACGACGTGAATTGTACTAAATGTGCACACGCCCGTTTACAACTCTTCGAATCGAAAATAACATGGAGCCAAATAGAGTTTCTACGGGGACTTCCGACGCGTTGGAATCATTGCAAAGGAGTGACATGTACTGAATGCAGTACAGTTTGAAAGAACTTTCACAGAGGTACTCGTATAGGTATCATTTGGTCCCCTGTTGCGAAATATTCGTAGGTGAAAATTAAACTTAATTTTCTCTTTGTCAAACTAACAGCTAACAACTAGTTTCACGAGTTTAGTTAAAAGTAAACAAGTCGTGAAACAGGCGAAACTAATATTTTTAATTTAGTCAGGCAGCGGTGACCGCGTTTAATTGAGGGAGTAATACAACTTTTTCACCGCCCTCAGTTAAGGTGTCCTTTTTGTGCAGTATTTTTTGTGAATATCTGCTGCGGCAATCTCTGAAACTTAATCGCTTTTGTTTAAGCCGCATTAGTCCGAGAGATATTTAGTTTGACACCAAGGCTGAATTTCAAATAAAATCTCTTGGATCTCGGCAGCAAGCTCTTATTACTTCCTAAATAAGATTATGGAATCTTAAAGGCTATTTAGCGAAGCAATAAATTGTGACGCTACATTGCCTGGCTCTACCTACAATCTACCCTTTTTGAAGGCGCCTGTAAGAGGTTAGAAAATGTTGTCATTATTCAGCTCGATTCTATTACGCCGAGACCGACTGTAACGACTTAATACATTCGAAGAAGTAGATTTAGTACCCAATTAAAGTGGTAATTCCGCTCTGACGACAACTGCACTAACAAAGCATAGACTCTCATCGAAATAACGATCTGCTTTGACTCTACTTGCTTTGCATAAAAACACAACGATTTGCAATTCTTTTGTTATTATAATTGGTTCCCGGCTAAGACCGTACAGCTGGTTTACAATCAAAACCTTCATGTTGATGTTTCAAATTATCATAATGAAAATTGGCAACAACACTTGTTCAAAAAAGCTTAGTTCCGTTTCTAGTAAACAAATTAACAGTAATTTGTAAGTTGTAATTCAGACAGCTGAGCCGCATATTGTGTGACGTCCTCGGTGGCCTAAGTGTTGACACTGTAGGCGCTGGATGTGAATATCCTGGGTTCGATTCCCGGTAGCACCAATTTGAATGTAGGAAATTAAATTTTCTAAATTGTTTTTGATTTGGGTGTTCTGGGAAGTGGTTCTCTGGTTTGAGACCAGGCAATTTTTGTGGTTATTCGGCGCACTACTTTATTATTGTTGTAGTAAGCAAATATCGATAAACATTCTTTTATTTAATTAATAGCACCGAAAACAACGTTGAAAAGGACTGCATTTTTGTTGTATTTGGTTTAGTTGAAAATTTTCTTTTGCTTTTATTTTAGGCGGAAGAAAAACAACACCCAATTTAAGCGGAAGAAGGTAAGTAATTATTTTTTGTTTTTGATAAATTGGCGTATATTTTACGGTTGAATCAGCGGTACTCGCGGTTTCCAGTCGCAGTGTTATAAATGGGAAGATTACCTTGTCACCAATGCCTTTGCAGACAGAGGAGGAAACGCTCATACATCATAATACGAGCTCCTATTTAAACGCAACTTTGTGAGAAAATTGCAAAAACACCGAGAAATACTATCTATATATAAACAGTGGCCTAAAATGAAAAGCACTTCATTTGTACTAATTGAAAAAGTTATCCCATTTCTCCGAGTTTCCGGTTCTTCGAATATAAAATAATTTAAAATGACTATGAAATGAACTGATTCCATTTAGTATAATAAGGAAAACGAACTGTCATCTTTTGCTAATAAAAAAACAAATCGACTGCCGCAACAAACAGTATCGAAACTGCAAAATCTAAGATTTTTTATTGCATCAATTGTAAGAGTATATGACATACTATTAGAAAAATATACAGTTTCGTCAAAAAAATCATAATAAGGGAAGTTTTAAATTGAATACTATCGATACTTCACACTATGATCGACAAACATTATCGAATAAGGTACAATCGATACTGTACTAAAGCGACGGTGAGCGCGCATAGTTCGTAACTGACCGAATCGTCAGTATTCGCCACGATGCGATGCAGTGTTGCCGTTCTAGCACCTTTGTCGCTAGATGTAGGGGATTTTATGCATGTTTAGCGGGTAAAAATTTGGTTTTAGCGAGAAAAAATATTTAGCTAATATTTTATTAGCTAAATATTCAGAAACAAAAATTATAACCTGTCAATCAAATATGGTAAATTAGTAATAATCGGCCAATTTTCTAGTCTGACGCTGGTAACACTAACGTAGAATCGGACTGAACGGTAATTTTTCTATAATAAATAAACTCTCAACATCCATTCGTTCGTTTGATGCCTTTCTCGCTC